GTATGCCTGTTAAACTGTACTATACTACCACAATACTAAGAATGTTTCAAGTTTCAATGATGTCAGCTGGTAATTTAACAGCTGTCAAGCTCTCATCTCCAAAAAAACCCAAACAAAACAACCGAACAATAATTTGTACAAGTCCTCCAGCTTTTCATCTCAGTGTAAAGAAAATAAAACCACCAAAAAAACCCCAAACCTGCAAGTTTTATCTACCTGCTAGAAAAAAAATCTTTTCTATCTCCAACTTCACTATAGTGTCTATTCCAATTGATCTGCCACCTTTTAGTCAGCATTTCACTTGTGAAAAAGCTCTCCTCTTCAGGCCTAGTTTGATTTGGAAATGTGTTTTCTTTCAAAAGAGCTGAATTCCCATCTGTAAGAATCAGACTCCCACAAACTTCAGTACCCAAGCTGGATGAAGTTGCACCGAGGCTCTGAAACAGCCTTGCTAACACTGCCATCTAAAGTACTAGGACAAGGAGTACAACCATCTGCATCGCTCTTTAATACTCACATGAAATGTTTTCTTTTAGTTTGGCTCTGAACTGCTGCACCCCTCCAGTGCCTCAGCTCGCAAATCCCACACTAACAATATTATGACAAATTATCTAGTCATCAAGTTGATGGATATAAATAGTCGTTGACATATTCTATCTCAAGGGATTTTTTTTTTTTTTTTTGGAAGGTTGCAGTACTAAACCGGAAACCTTGCGTGTATGAACCTGACGCTGACTGTCCATCTGCGAGTTCAGTTCAGTGACACACCAGCTCTGAACTACCAAGGAGGAAGGGAAGTCCTATGGCCTTCCAAATCACATAGCTGGAAGGGCAGATTTCCATATTTCAGGACAGCTTTCCGATTATTTTGTGGAGTGTCCTTTTTCTGAGACACCAGTCAGACAAAGTATGTTTGCAGAACATAGAAGGCTAATGAAACATATCAAGTTACTGATGGCACAACAGAAGATGACTAGCAGAATGATACTTGTTCCGGTCCCATCTGTTCTCAGAAACAAAACAGGCATTAGGCAGGGCAGAGAGATAAAACTGGTCTCTACAGAGCTGTTTGCTTCTTTAAAGTTTCACGAGAGATTTTCTTTCAAGATTAAGGTTCTACAGCTGTCTTCATTATTTCAAGTTACTTCAGATAGTCTCATGAGGCATAGTATCGACTACTTCTATTGAGTCTGGATAGTTTTTCTTGTTAGAAAGCAAGTGTAAAAAATCCAACCAAGCAAAACCAGACCATATTGGTCCAGAGTTCTTTTACAGAGAACTTCTTACTACAAAAGATAGTATGCCTGTTAAACTGTACTATACTACCACAATACTAAGAATGTTTCAAGTTTCAATGATGTCAGCTGGTAATTTAACAGCTGTCAAGCTCTCATCTCCAAAAAAACCCAAACAAAACAACCGAACAATAATTTGTACAAGTCCTCCAGCTTTTCATCTCAGTGTAAAGAAAATAAAACGACCAAAAAAACCCCAAACCTGCAAGTTTTATCTACCTGCTAGAAAAAAAAATCTTTTCTATCTCCAACTTCACTATAGTGTCTATTCCAATTGATCTGCCACCTTTTAGTCAGCATTTCACTTGTGAAAAAGCTCTCCTCTTCAGGCCTAGTTTGATTTGGAAATGTGTTTTCTTTCAAAAGAGCTGAATTCCCATCTGTAAGAATCAGACTCCCACAAACTTCAGTACCCAAGCTGGATGAAGTTGCACCGAGGCTCTGAAACAGCCTTGCTAACACTGCCATCTAAAGTACTAGGACAAGGAGTACAACCATCTGCATCGCTCTTTAATACTCACATGAAATGTTTTCTTTTAGTTTGGCTCTGAACTGCTGCACCCCTCCAGTGCCTCAGCTCGCAAATCCCACACTAACAATATTATGACAAATTATCTAGTCATCAAGTTGATGGATATAAATAGTCGTTGACATATTCTATCTCAAGGGATTTTTTTTTTTTTTTTTGGAAGGTTGCAGTACCAAACTGGAAACCTTGCGTGTATGAACCCGACGCTGACTGTCCATCTGCGAGTTCAGTTCAGTGACACACCAGCTCTGAACTACCAAGGAGGAAGGGAAGTCCTATGGCCTTCCAAATCACATAGCTGGAAGGGCAGATTTCCATATTTCAGGACAGCTTTCCGATTATTTTGTGGAGTGTCCTTTTTCTGAGACACCAGTCAGACAAAGTATGTTTGCAGAACATAGAAGGCTAATGAAACATATCAAGTTACTGATGGCACAACAGAAGATGACTAGCAGAATGATACTTGTTCCGGTCCCATCTGTTCTCAGAAACAAAACAGGCATTAGGCAGGGCAGAGAGATAAAACTGGTCTCTACAGAGCTGTTTGCTTCTTTAAAGTTTCACGAGAGATTTTCTTTCAAGATTAAGGTTCTACAGCTGTCTTCATTATTTCAAGTTACTTCAGATAGTCTCATGAGGCATAGTATCGACTACTTCTATTGAGTCTGGATAGTTTTTCTTGTTAGAAAGCAAGTGTAAAAAATCCAACCAAGCAAAACCAGACCATATTGGTCCAGACTCCTCTAGCTGTGCCAAATCTGATCATCTTTTATCTCATTTTCCATCCCTCCCAACATCCCTCAAATTTTCGTTTAATCTTAAAATCAAACTAAAGGTGTCCCACAAGACAATTTATTTTCATCCACCTACTGGAAATATGGAGGAACATTCTCCAGTGATATTATACAACCTGCAATCCATTAAGATCAGTAGCAAGTATGCAGAATATCATGCAGAGTTATGATTTCCTGCACCAGTCCATCTGTGAACTCTACAGGTCCATCTCATTTCAAGGAATTTGCAGCAGTTCTTGGTGAAGACCAGGTACATAAACAGAACAGAAAGCCATTAAAGAATACTGAATACATTTAATAATCACATCTGGCTCAGAAAAGTATTTGCCCTGAAAATACTTACACACTGGAAGAACCACCAACATATGCTCTCCCTGTTCCCGCTCTGCGCTAGGCATCTGCTCACGTTTGAAGGTTCAGATTTTACTGGATATTAAGCTTTTTCAAGTTTTAACCTAATTCAGAAAGCGACATCTAATTAACTTTGCCCCATTCTTTGAAGCTTAACCAAAGTTTTCAGTAGTGTCCAGACCTTTATCACTGTTACCTTACTGGTGCTTTCCTACTGAAAGTGTTGCTTGGGGAGGGCTTCTGCCAGTCCCTTCAAATGCTTCACACTGGAGATTCCCAGCTGGTTTAAGATGCCATTAAGCATTTGGCAGCTACTTTGTCTCAGCACAGCTGGAGAAGGTGAAAGCATCAGCAGTCAGACACCTGAATTTTAGGGCTGCTGAGGTGGACACCACCATCTTGATTTATAAATATTTTCCCTTCAATACCCAAAATACTGTTGATTCAGTTTCTTCAAATAAGACAGAAGTTTCTTGCCATGTGCTGTAGCTGTTTGCTGGACAGCCTTCCTCCTCCTGCAGGCAGCAGGACCACTCCCACCAATGCCCCCTGAGTTTTACTAGTTTTTCTGGAGCACTCTCACCTTCCTGAGCAGAAGCAGCACTGTTCTAGTAGAGGAGTAAGTGAGGGGTGTGAAAGGATGAACAAAACCAAGTGTGCACATGCAGAGTGAATTAAGATAGTGATTCCTGGAGACTTTACTTTGCTGGAGAGACCCACGGTCTGACTCAGTTTAGTGACTCCACATATCCTTCGCAAATGCACACAATGCTTTAAATAAAGTTTTGCACTAGTTCAAACTGCAACTTTGCCAATACACTTATCCATGACTTCAGAAGTAAAGGCTACTAAATGAAAAAGGTAATACTACTGCTGGCACTAAATGTTCTTCCATTAGTTTACTGTAGATTTGGAGAATCTACACTTGCCCAGTTCCTAGACCCATTCCATAACCCCAGAGAGGCAAGATAGCAGGCTAGAAGGACTGTTGGTCTGACCCAGTATTGCCATAAGCTCTCCTAAGAATTACAAAAATGTGATGTAAGTCTCATCAAAACCAGAGATTCTGTAAAACAAGTATTTTAATACATCAATCATGCCCTAAAATAAGGGACAGTTACTTTAGTGACACATTTATAATGCTCTATATTCTTAATTCCTGAATGGAGTACTCAAATTTTGGACACAGCACTTGGAAATGTCCTCTACTGTTGTCAACAAAACTGGTGGCAAATCAATTTAATCAGCTCTCCAGAATTCAAAGACCTTTTTGATGATTAATCAGAAATGGAAGAAAAATAAATCCTACCTCACATTTGGTAGCATTACCTTCCCAATCTGACAGATGACTGTTATCTATGCTGGCACAGCACAATAAACATGAAGTATAACACACATACTCTATGCAGTAGCTTAGGTGACAAGGAGCAGGTTGTAAGACCAAAAGCTAAAACCTTCACATGAGCATATGCTACCTCTTCAGTCTTACAAACCGGTTCAGAATACTTGTTTCTGGTATAAGGCACCTGGTCCAGAAAGGATTTAAAGTTACACAGTAACTTTACTAATGAGACTAAGACAGAAAAAACACCAAAACATTATCTTAATTCATGTCTTCCAAGAAGTTTAAGCACAATCTTCCAGGACAAGTTCTTAGATGTGGCCTAACTACTACACTCTGTGCACACTAAAAAGGCCTTTATTGAAACAATGGGACTTCTTCACATTGCTACGGTTTTCAAAATCATTACCAGGCTGTGTGGTGAGGTACCGTGCAAGCAGAAAAATAAACGCTTGCAACCTTGTTTAGCATCTTTAACCACAGAGCAGCATAAATTTGGTTACAGACCAGGACTTCCCAGTGAACACCAGAAACTTCAGAAGTTGTAGAAGCAAATGGGGGAAAAGGAGTTCTTGAAGACAAAACTGCTAATACTCAGCACAGCCCCATTTTCTGTGCTTTAACATATTGTAATTTTTGCTTCTTATATTTCAGGAGAGTTTTCAAGCAGGTTAAGTTTCAGTTCTTACCTACAGCCAGCGCTGCACTCTGTTCTTGGCCTCCAGTCTGTTTTAAAAGAAAAAGAGATTATGAAAATTTATTCTTTTGCACTGTAAATCTTAAATGTAATGCTACATGACCTTGCTACATGCAAACATGCATCTGTTCCGGACACTGTACTATTTTCCTGGATCTACTTCATAAACATAGTTCTGGGCCTATATGCCACTGTGACTACTGAAAAATGTTTAAAAATAGTACGTAGAACTGTGTTTTATCTTTAGCCATACAAATAACTAGGGAACAAAATTATTTGGCAACAAACTTGTTTTTAGGGAAAAAGGCTGCTGGTCTTAGATAATCCATAAGAACACATATCCTGTAATAAATTCAGTTACTAAAGACTCAAAGCTGCAGTAAAATACCAAAGTCAAATTGTTCCACTTGCATTTCTCTTTGCAGACACAAACTTTAAAAAGTAACACAAGATTCTTAATTCAACCGCACAAATTAGCTCTTGAAAAATTTCATGGCTTGCATGCTGACCTCCAGAGAAGGCATTTTCAAGTCACCACTGAAAACCATTAGCTTAACAAAGAAAACTAGCACTCAGCTTGCTATACACTTTATTAATTGCCATCTTATGGATGGTGAAATAATTATGTTAATAGTACTGCTCAGAGGAGAAAACACGGAGTACTAGAGGATCTCATAGCGCTTCATAGGAAATAACAGTGTATCATTAGCTAGGGACGGCTCTGAAGATCTACAGCACCGTAGGCAAGAAGCAGAGGGAAGACCCCAGTAAGAACGACTCTTCACAGCCCATCTGATAGATGACTGTCAGACACCGTTACAACTGTAGAAATTTCTTTCTCTTTTCCAGTGTATGCATCTCTCTCAAAGAGCCTTCCCCCTTGACAGGATTTCTTTAAGTTTGAGTAGCATCTGCTTTTTCCTTTGCCAGTTGGCTTCGTTTTCCCTTTGCTCTCTCAATAGTAAGCAACAGCTAGTGCTTCAGGACAACAACTACTTCACAGGTCAAAAAAATGGTTAACAGTGCTATCTTCATAAGAGCTGTTGCAGCTTCCCTAAAAAACTCCGCCACTCTCACTAGGCGTATTTTAAATATGGAGGGTTTTTTCCCTCCTCATGACTGCAGACTGCTCAATTCATGCTTTGAGACAAAGCAACAAAAATCAAACACTGACTGGAAAACGTTGGTCCCCTGCAGGTCAGCGAAGAACATAACTGATACTGCAAATAGAGAAACTGAAACCGAAGTTAGACCCAGCATTACTTCAAAAAGCTAATTTCCTGAAATAAGAAAAAAGTGAAAGAAAAATCAAATAGGACAAAACACTTGAGAACACAAAAAAGTTATACCTAAAAATAGATATATTTTTTTTAGGGTAGTCAAGAGCTCTGGTTAAGATTATTTAAGAGTCCAACTTAATTCACTGAGCTATAAAAAGGAGAAGTCCAAATTCATTAGAATCACCAGACATGAAAGCAAAAGAGAAAAAAAAAAAACCAACAAACCAACAACAAACCCACTATCGCAGCCACGCTAGGAACTTTTTGAAAAATGTTTCCTGACAGCATTAGTTCATTACTACGAGAAATGTCTACAGTTCCAGCCGATAAAATTATTAGAAAAAAAACCCCTAGGATTGCTCAGCTCTTACATTTTTCCAGACAGACTACTGCACTTATAATCAGAAGCGCTTACCACCTGCAGGAAAAGTGTGCTGATGCTCAGGTAGCTTGTCCCGAAGGCTTCAGTGAATGAGTGAATGGCCTAGAGAGCCATTAGGCAAAAGGGAAGCAACCAGGAAAGCTGAGAATTATAGGTCGGTTGGACTATCATCAATAACAGGCAAAGAGACGTTAGCACAGGAATCTATTAACTGGATTTCTATCTTTTAATACCAATGAGCATGCCTTCATGCAAAACAGATCAATCGGACTGAGCACATGTGATGCTATCAGCTTGGTTTACACTGGCAAGCTGATAGATATTTGATTTTTGCACAGTGTGACTTCACATCACACAGTATTTTAAATTTAGAGGTTAGCACTATGCAATAGAATAAAGCACTGTCTAAATGGATAAGAAATTGACTTTCGGATCTCTAGCAGTCAGTGGGAAATAATCAGTGAGCATCCATTAAAAATGGCCAGATATGCGTTACTTGGGTTCTCCCAGTTAGTACAGAGGATCTGTAAAACACTTGAGCTTCCTTCTTGACTGATTCTCAAGGTCTGGATCTGCAGATTAATACAGAAATAATACCAACAGGCACAAGATGAGACACGTATACTATATAATTTAACAGGTAGCGAAAATTGAACCAAGAGGTTTTTTAATTGCTTGTTATTGTGAGGCAGTCAAGTATTTAACATTATATTACAGAGAGAAGCAGCTCTGGACAGGAAAATTACCTTTTATTCAATGGGTTAACAGCTATAAGATTTTGTTTAGCCTCTTTTTTAATACCACTTTATGGAGTCAAGCAGCAGAGAGGTTAATGCATCTTTCCTGGTTTCAGCTGGGATAGAGTTAATTTTCTTCCTAGTAGCTGGCACAGCACTGTGTTTTGGATTTAGTACTAGAAGAATGTTGGTAACACACTGATGGTTTAGTTGTTGCTGAGCAGGGCTTACACCAGTCAAGGACTTTTTCAGCTTCCCCTGCTCTGCCAGGGGCACAAGAAGCTGGGAGGGGGCACAGCCAGGACAGCTGACCCCAACTGGCCAAAGGGCTATTCCATACCATAGGACATCATGCTCAGTATATAAACTGGGGGAGTTGGTCAGGGGGCAGTGATCGCTGCTCAGGGACGGGCTGGGCATTGGTCAGCAGGTGGTGAGAGGTTGCATCGCTTGTTTTCCTGGGTGTTGTTCCTCTTTGTTGTTGTTGTTTTGCTTTTCACTACAGTTTATTATAATATTATATTTTATTTCGGTTATTAAACTGCTCTTACCTCAAACCACGAGTTTTCTTACTTTTGCCCTTCTGATTCTACCCCCCATCCCACCATAGGGAGTGAGCAAACGGCTGGGTGGGGCTTTGTTGCCAGCTGGGGTTAAACCACGACAGCATCCCATCCTAGGAATCTCTACTACACACCCCCCACCACCACCCCTTGACTTCCAGCCTAACTTCACCACAGCAGAAGGAGGTCAAAGCATATACTAACATCTCAGGCCAACTACAACAGGAATCCAAAGAATTGTCACAACAGTTGGAGAACAAATGTGGAAAAACTTTTATGGCCATTAGAGAGGGACAGTGAATCATCTAAACTGCAGCTATTCATTTTCAGAAAATGAACAAAACCAAGCATCATTCAGCTTGTCAGAGGAAAAGCCTGTACTTGACACAAGTCAAATGGTACCCAAATATAAAAGATGCACTAAGTAAGTTTGGCATCACTGCGGACAACAAAACTTGAAAAAGTTAGTAACTGGCTAACCACTGAGTAAGCCCTGTGTTTTGGGTATCCACCTCATATTGGAACTGATGCTGCATAACTCAGCAATACATGAAAACGGATTTCAGAAGAGAAAAGCTAACCATTAATGTCCAGTATGAAACCAATGGTTTTTGCCCAACCCTGAGTGAACAAATTAAGAAGCCTCTACACACAAGCATAGACTTGTCAGCAACTCTCAGTCAAGATTTGCTACAAGAACGGTGATTTTGCAGGCTTTCCCACACTTGGGGTTTTCTGCCTATTAAGAACTGAAAACATTGAGTAGTAAGAAAGAATCGACAACAACTGTACAATAAGAATCTGAATTACTTTCTGTGTATTCAACTGGTACCTCAGCTTGCCAGGGAACTTCAGAAAGAATTACTTCGTAAAACTTACAACACTTACTAAAGAAAGCTTGCATGGCCTTCATGTACTCCACGTGAGGTATTAGGCACTCAGGCTTTATTTGTCTTCAAAACACAATCCACTCTGCTGCTTTCACAGAGGAAACTTATAAATTGCTTGTTTGAAGTTCAAGCTTGCACTAGGATTTCCCTTGGTAAGCCTGACCAAGGGTGGACTATGGCACAGATGTTCTGTCCATGAATCTCAACCGCCCCTTGCATACTGCTGAACAGAACAGGCCCTGGCTCAAAGACTGCACTGCTCTGGCAATTTTTAGACATTTCTGCTCTCTTGCTTCAGCTACAGACTTGAAATAAAGTTTGAGGAAACCACTGCAAAAATTGGTTACTCTTAGATGCACACATTAAAACATAAAACCCCAGCTCCGTCCAAAACAGAACCGCAAGTCAAATACATCCCACATCTTGTGGGTAATAAAAAAAGAACACTAAGGAATGTTTAGTAATAGAAGTTGATTTTTACTTTAGTAACAATAACAGATGGCTAAGCTATAAACAATAAATCATAGCTAGGATCATGTTTCAAAGGAAGTTTCAGGGCATCTGCAGATGAACCCATGGTTCAACGCTAAATGGATGCAAACTCTGATGTTAACATCAGTGATTCTAAAAGAAGATTCTGCTGCATCTGTATGGCAATCAAACACTAGATTAAGTCTATGCAAAGCTAGTCTGTCACTACTGCAAAGTGACCTTAGTTCTTCATAAGAAAGCAAATCTACTGGTTGCCTGCTATGAAACCACCTTTTTGATTTCTGGCTGTGGAGAACTTCAGCTCAAATCTTTCTTCTCCATTTTTATTTATCCTTCTGAAGCCAAATTGCATCTTAAAAGTTTATGTGCTATTTTAAGCCTTTCCCGATCCTATATAGTTTCTCAATGCTGTTTTACAGTATCTCATATTACTTGCTACACTCAAACCTGTGGGTTTAGGTTTACAATTTAATGATAGACAGGGTGATCTGACATGAAAGCTTTCTTGGCAGTTCTCAGCCTGTGTTAGTTGCCAAAAGCACGTGTTATGCTTCCTCTCCTTTATTCACTGATTAAAAAGCATTTATGCCAATATAACTCATTCTACACAGTTATAGTGGCATACAGCTCTTCATACCGTGCATCCATACATCTAGTGGCACCCTCAGTTCCACATACGAAGTCA